CTGACTTTTATTTTTTTATCATTCTTGAACAGAACATGGTAACACAGATGAAGTTGCTGGTGAAATGAGTATATGCATGTCAAAGTACGGATTAAGTTAAATATATTAAGTGCTTCTCACCAAACTTGCGGTAGCATCCCACAGTAACATGTCAACAGTGCCAGAGTAAGAATGACACAAATGTAGCAAGGACAGAGTACGCCCTCTGCTGGATGGTGGTGAACTTTTCTTCCTTTCCACAGAACACCCTGCCAAGGTCTTAGGAAGACCTTTCCACTACAAATGGCATTTTGGTAGATGACAAACATGCAATAAACTGACATACTCAGAGCTAAACATTAAGTAAACATTTTAAATAAAATGAAATAGGCTGACCCTGGAAAGGAGGATATAAAATTCAGATAAAGGAACAGCAGATTTTTTTTAAAAAAAGGTACTTAGACTTAATTTGTTGATGTAAGGGACAGACAACCACTGTTACAAGCCCAAGTATAAAGGCACATTCCAGCCTAGACACAGGTCAAAAAACACAAAAAAACGACTGTTTTTAACTATTTTATTTCAGCAATTGCATTTATCTTGTCAGTTTTCAAAATTCCCTGTTTATGCATTCAGAAACATAACAATAATAATATAACAAGTATACTCATAGAACAAAACTGTACACCTGTATTTATAGTGATATTTATATATACATACAGCCATAGACACCAATGTCAATGTGACCACCGGCTCAAATACAAGGTCAAACCTGTACAGAAATAACTCTAGAGGAGAGAATTCCCCAATTCTCCGCTGGGAAACGTAACAGTCACATAACTCTCTTCACTTATGAGCCAAACGCAATTAAACCTGCGTGCAAATTAAGTTGGTGCTTCACTTCTTAATACCAAGTGAGAGTGCATTCTTTCTTAAAAACTCAGGTGCGATTTTTCATTAGCTTTCTGCTTGGTTTGCCAAGCAATACACAGATTTCAATACTTTCAGGGCATTAGTATGTGATTAAAATATTAGGTGTTAGTTTTAACGTCATTTCCCCCCCCCCCCATAAAATTCATAAAAGGAGAGAAATTTGTTCACAGTGAATAGCATTAACTAATAATAATCACTCTTATTATTAGTCAGCAGATAGAGGAGAATACTGACTAGCCGTAGCCGTAGCCGTAGCCGCAGCTGTAGCCGGAACCTTGGACTACGGTTGGGTGTCATTAAAGTCAGGCTCTTTTTCCGGCTTAAACAATAGCGGGGCAGGGCTGCTGAGGCCTGAACCGGCCCAGCCATGAACATGGGCTTTGGAAGCATGCATGTCATCACACTAGTACTTTGGGGCTAAAGGGACGCTCCTGCCAAGCAGGGGCTCCACAGCTACAAGGAGTTCCATCAGCAGCTTTCCTCTTCAGGCAGGCAAACTTTTAGCAGCTCTCCATTCCACTCATAGGGTCTGTGAGACAGGTAGCATGAGGTATATATATATATATATATACATATATACTGTGTATATGCGTAGCTGCAGAGAACAAAAGCAAGGCTATTTTCAATGCACCTTTTTTTTTGGCTGCAATAATATCTAAATGAATATCAAAGCCAGGGTATGTACATGAACAAGACACAGACTGATCTGCATGCACCTAAACACCGACGTGGGTTTGACGCTCAAAGTGTGCAATTTATGGACCAGATCGGTGACGGGCTGCACCGTGCAACATTACAATATGCGAAAGCAATGATGTTATTGGGATGTGTTTTTGTGTGTGTGTGCGTGTGTGTGCGTGTGTGTGCATGCGCACTGTATTGTGCAAAGTGCTTGAGCAGGACATTTGAGGAATCAGAGAAATATACCTTTTGCAAATATCACCATTCCTCACATGCCCCATTGTGCAGTGCTTGTATTTTGTACAGCTCAGTATCACTATTCCGGGCACATCTGGCTGATGAGTATGTTCCTGAACTAGCACTGTGCCATTTCTATGAACTGCATCCACTGTTAACAGGTTGGCTAGAGCACAGAGACAAGTATCCAGCATGAATCTGATGTTACACTAGTGACCATCCGCTGCAAGTTCCTGTCACAGCAAGACCGACAGTGTTAATATATTGCAGAGCACACTGCCAGTTTTGCTGTGAGAATGAGAGTTCATACAAAAAGCCTTGTTACTGAAAGCGACACTCCTCCGGGACAGCTTTACTGCTGCATTTCTGTAAGACACACTAGTTTTGGTAACACTTTACTTGAGGGGCATAAATCATATAGTAATACACTCTTACTTAATGTATTAATTAACCAGGAACTAAATGTTATGTTTTGATCCAATGTTGGTTCATCATTAATCAATCATAATAGGTCATGTATTTCATGCAGTTCATGTTCATGATTGGTACTTGAGTAGTAACTGAGTTACTAAGTTGCTTGTGCCCCCTTGAGTAAAGCGTTACCATAGTTTTTTTACTGTTGTTGTTTAAACAAATTCTTAGATCTGGGAATGTGAAGGACACATCACCAGGAAGAAGAAATCTAATGGTGCCAGAAAGAGTAATCCTTCCATTACATGCAGGTCCTGAAATGATGTGACCATCAACACATCATAAATACAAGTGACCTCCAGTCTGCCACCACAGCGTCAGCTTGGAGGCGGGGTCATGTTTGAATAAGTGTATTAGTGACCAAAGGTTGCCCAGTCATTTCCCAGGATAGTTCAGACTGCTGGAACCTTAAACAGAAGACTTAGTTTGAACTGATTCAGCAAATTTCTGGCTCTTTACTGTAAATGGGAAGCGTGTAGACCTCTGGGTTTAAAAGTGGCCGTGGGCCGATCCCTCTGTTGAGCAAATGATTAGAAACAGAGATCTGGAAAGAATGGCATCTACTGATATTTGTATGAATCCCTGAACATCTTTTTTTTTTCGCCAACAGTATAAAAATCAGATGAGCCCCTTTCCCTTTACAGTTTTACACAAATGTTCAGATTAAAAATACGCACATACCAACTTCCAGAACAATGGCGCTCACTAGGAAATTAACCACTGATCCATATTAATGAGCAGAGAGGACGTGTACGTGGAGTGCACACATCCTAGTGGTGGTTAATGGCTTCTTATTGCTCGTAGGAGTGAGGTAATACGCGGGATGCATATTCATGTACAGTACAACACCTTCTCATCTGTATTTACCCAGCACTCGGTTACTCTGCCCACCAGGGAGGGACTGCATTTCATCCTTCATCCTTCGTCAAAACGCAACCAGAAATCAAAACCAGCGAATCCTCAAAAATGCATAGAAGACCAGCCAAAAATGCTCTGTTGTCCCCTGAATACAAAAAAGCTCAAGTCGAACAATGTGATTTAGGGGAGAAAAGACTGGGCCAAAAAGGAAAGGGCAGAAGGAAGACATTTAGTGACTGAGATTGGCATCTTAATGCCGTGGTCGTTTCACATGTTATGAAATAAATGGAAGTGTTTATACAACAGAACCAATAATACAAACGTATAGGCAAGTCTATACATCTTAAGAAAATAGCAACGAGATGTTTAAATGTAAAAAGAAAAAATGTGTGGACATTTATGATGTGAGGTCACTGCGACTCATGGATGTCCGCATGGACCAGACAATGGGACAATGATATTCTACGCTGAAGACACCTGCAGTTACCTTATACAGACGCCACTGCCTGCTTGAAAATAAGAATGAGGCACTTCATATTACTTGCATTTTCTTTAGCAATAAATAAAATTTAATTTCTTTTCGGACATCAGGGTGACGATGGCCAACAGTGATCTGATGGAGGTGTCTGCAGAGGTGTGATTTTGTGCAGTATAAATATTTTTTGGTTGAACTTTAGTTTCAGGAAGAAAAAGGCACAAGGCAAAGTGAGAGACCGATTTATCCCTTGTTGGTAGAACATACTTTTCATGCTACTTTCCAGAACGGCAACTCAACACTGACCTTTACTTGACTCCTGCCCCGACCATTAATGAAGACTGTATCCGCTCTACACCATATGTTACAGGACAGAACTCAATTGTCAAAAGAGAAGCATCTAGCTTGCTGTAGGATCTGGTGACTGGAGGAGTTTCTAAATTGGTCCCAGAGCTCTTTACATGTCCAGCTTTAAATGTAAATAAATCTCAATATAAAAAGATAGAAAGCCAGGGTTAAAATAGGAACAAACATATCAAGTGGGGCTCTAACACTAGCGGGTAGCATTGCTGGTGCAACCAAAGGAAAACTGCGCTCCATCTTCTGCTATGTGGTTTAGTGTCCTCTAGATGGCACTAGGAGTCAGTTTTACAGGTGGTAAATCAGTCATGCAGGAGGATCGGTGTGAAAATGGAAAAAGGCGTAATCATGACAGGTCGGATACACGGAGGACTCGCGTGTGTCCCACTCTGTCTCCGTCTGATGTCTGGATGTCTGCTCTGCCAGCCTGCTGCCCATCCCCTCTCTCCAGCCGCTTGCCTGTCAGTATCTGAGAGAGCTTATGCTGACTCGGTCGGAGCCAGGGGCCGGGGGACAGGGAGCCGGGGGAGGGCTGGGGGCCCCAGGGGGCGGCTGGCTCTCTTGGCACCCCGGTGTCTGAGAGAGAGAACCCCGATATACTCGCCCCGGACACGCTGGTCCCGGACAGACTGGCCCCTGACTCAGACTCGGTGTCTCTGTCCAGAGACATGAGGAAGGAGAAGGGAGCTGTATCAGGCGCGGCGCCACCCTCCATCTCGGCCGAGGGCTGTGGACGCTCCCTGCTGTGATCCCCTCCGCTCCTGTCTGCTCTGGGCTGGGGTAGTCTCCCGCTGACCGAGGGTAGGTGTGTTTTTCTCTCCTTCAACTCCCCCGTGCTCGTTTTCCCCTTCTTGTCATTCCTCTCCTCGCCCGCAGCCTGCCGCCCCCTCTCCCGCTTCTTCTCCTTCACCTTCCCTCTGTCCACTGCTCCCTCCATAACCTCCTCATCCTTGCTGCCTCCCCAGTTGCCCAGCTCATCCTGAGGCAAACTATGGGCGCCCTTCCCCTTTCCACTATTCCCCAAAGACTGTGACCTCTGACCCTGAAGGTGACCTAGCCTTTCACTCCTCTCCTCCCACTCCAGATCACTGTCAGGTGTCCTCTTCCCTCCCTTTTCACCTCTCCTTCTTCCCTGGCTCCCACTTTTTTTGTGTTGTCCCTTCCTCACCCCCCCCCTCTTGTCTGCCTTCGACCTTTGACCCCACCTGAGAAGAGTGTCAGGGTCCTCAACGGCAGTCACTCCCGGGTCCTCCCGGTAAAGTGAGGAGGACGGGGAGGCTGCTCTGGGTTTACGGCCTGGAGACACAAAGGAGACAGAGGAGAGAAACACCAGGGTTATGGCTACGGCAGGTGATCTGCTTCCCGCTGACTTACAAACACATCAGTTGTCACAGTGACATAATGTAAATGAAATGAAGTGTACTGAACCATCTGTCTCACTGATTAGGAGGAGGAGGAGGAGGAAGAGGAGGAAGAGGATATTGCATACTGTATGAGTCATGGAACAAGATGTCCAAGATCCAGGAGAACAGTAGCTAGATCAGGATGCCTTGGGGCTTCCACCTGCTGGCCCAGAGGTGGCTTAGGAGGCCAGGGATAACAGCACTGACTGCCTACACTGGACTCTCCATCCTCCTAAGCTTTGTGAATGCAGCTTTTGTCCTGAGCTAGCTCTTAAGCCGAGCAGGCCTGCTGATTGAGCGACGACTGTGCTCTGACCCGTCAGACAGATTGTTCAGGCTTATATAATAATGAAACAATGCTGGTTTTGTCTGCCCCATTTGTGCTGAAAATGAATTAATGTAAATGTGTTTTTAATTTAGGGCTGCATATCAGTTAAGTGAATAAATGATTCATAGCAATTTCACAGTAAATCTGTACGGGCTTCTACAAACTGCACAAATTCACCAAATTAAGAGGCTTATCTTACTTTCTTAATAGCAGAACAGACCTGTTGAATTTATCTTCTAATAGAGCTACCATTCATTATATGGCCAAAAGTATGTGGACACACCTATTAATTAGAGGAAATGCCTAATTAAGCCACGCCCACTGCTGACACTGTACTGATAAGCCACGCCCACTGCTGACACTATACTTAGACACCCAGTCACGCAATCTCCTGCCAAAAGCATTAGCAACAGAATGGGTGGCTGTACAGGAGAGATTAGTGACTTTCCACTTGGCACCATCATAGGACACCATCTTTCCAAACTCCGTTTCCACATTTCTGCCCTGCTACTAGTGCTTGGATTCCATACAGCTGGGATCTACTCCTAAGCATTGGGGTCAACTGAATATTTTTCAGTTTTGAGCTTTCTGAGCACCGGTCAAAAAATGAAATTCTGTGGACTCGAGTGGAGGTTGCTACGAACGCTGTGCGCCGATAACTGCCTTGATTGGTCGCTATAGTGTTGTCACGTCGACAGTTCGTGCCCTGATAGGATTGGACTATTTCTGTCCAATCAGACCGATCTGTTCTTGGTCATTGTTTACCTCAAGTGTATGTCAAAAGTACAAATGTTTCAGTTTTGAGCTTTTCTCTACCCTGTAAAAAAAAAAAAAAAAAAAAAGAATTTTGTGGACCCAGAGGCTACCGCATACGGTGCATGTTAATGATCGGTTGTTACGGTGTTGTTACAACCCCGTTACCAAAAAATCTGGGACACTGTGCAAAATGTAAATAAAAACAGAATGGAATGATTTTCAAATTGCATAAACCCATATGTATTTGAAAACAGAAAAAAGACAACATATCAAATTTTGAATTTTTATTGTTTTATGACAAATATATGGTCAATTTGAGTTTGATGCCAGCAACACAGTTCAAAAAGTTGGGACAGGGGCAAAAAAATACAGTGGTACCTCAGTTCTCGAACTCATTAGAACTGGAATTTCTAAGTCAAGTCAAGTCAAGTTTATTTATATAGCACATTTACAGCAGTTGTAAAACTGCACCAAAGTGCTGTACAAGGATCATAACAAAACAGCAACAAAAACAGAAACAGCAAAAATATTTTAATATTAACAATAAACCATTAATACATTTAATTATAATAATATTGTCGTGCTGAGCGGGAACGGAACGGAGACAAAGGCGCAGACGTCAGGGTATCGGGGAATACGGGGTTAAATTACAGGTAAGGCAGGCAAAACACAGACGGAATTGAATTATTATAATTAAATGTATTAATGGTTTATTGTCAATATTAAAATATTTTTGCTGTTTCTGTTTTTGTTGCTGTTTTGTTATGATCCTTGTACAGCCCTTTGGTGCAGTTTTACAACTGCTGTAAATGTGCTATATAAATAAACTTGACTTGACTTGACTTGACTTGACTTAAAATAATGAATAAGAAATCCTTATTTTAAAATGTATTTTATTATATAGCCTAATAATAATTACTGTTACTGTCTATCATCAAAATGTATTTTTACTGTCTAAATATATGTATTCAGCTAGTGTAAACATGCACGATGCTATCACAGCGAATGCGAGGCTGAGACTGAAGCGTTACCCTTTGTTTCCGCTGACAAACGTGCCGCGTGACTCATTACCCCACGCATACAAGTTATCTTAGGTTACGGTTTGACTTCTGAGATTCAGATCGAGCTCTAGGTAATTTTTTTTTCAAACTGGTTGGTTCAACTTTTAAGAAATTCAAGTTCTAATGAGTTCGAGAACTGAGGTACCACTGTACTTTCATTTAATAAAATTAACTGGAAAGTATCAAGATCCCGTGTCATTCATACTACTCTGTCTTGTTCTCTTTTTATGAGACCTTTTTTTCTCTTATATTTTAAGTCTCTGGAATCAAGAATCAGGAAACTGTTGTCTGGAATTGATTTGCAATTCTTGGAAATGAAATCAGAAATCAGGCAACTCCAAAATGTTTGGAATTGAACAGCCCTACCTGCCACAGCTGCCCTGGTCAATGCCAAGTGAAGAGATTGTGAAGGTCAAAATGTCAGGGAGCAAGTTCAGCTACCAGGTGGGGGCCACACAAGCACTCAGGAAGAGATCTGATCACCCAGCATCAGTACCCAACCTGAATGGCAGCAAACCCCAACTTCGAATGGAACTCTTTCCCAGAAAATTATTCCAGCAATTACAGCAAAAAAAAAAGGTGCTGCAACTTCATATTAATACCAATGTTTTCAGAATGAGATGCTGAACAGGCGGCAGGTCCCACACACGTTTGCCCATTTAGTATATGTTTGCCGCATCTCAGTGCCAGCAAATTGATCAGGAATCTGGCTGGAGCAGAATCTACTTATGCAATGGGCCAGGTTTCAGGAATGCTGGTTTACATTGCCCTCTGCAATTTATTCACTTATTTTTAGTAGTCATTTAACAACACAATGACGCAAAACAGGAAGACAATGCAGTGTAAACATGTTAAATCCATCTACTGGTACTGAACGAATGGCAGGAGTGTGAAGGGATGAAGGCAGACAGTCACATGACACGCTGTAAGCCGGGGGGAAATGGCAACGCAAAGGCCAGGCGGCCCGAGCCACTACCAACCGCGTGCTCTCCGTCCGGCCGATGACATAGAAACAGGGCTCGCCCAGCTTGGAGTTGGTCATACAGAGAGACAAGCTGGATAGCTCCACTGGGAGACAGAGAGAGGAAGAGAGAAGGAGAGAGTGAGGGGGTAGAGGGGAAAAGAGGAGAGTGGCCATCCAAAAAGAAACAGCAGTACCGCTTCAAAGGAAGAGTGAGAGAGACCCCCAAAAATGGCAAGGAAAAGAAAAAACCCAAAAAAGGCGGGAGAATGAGAAACTTTTACTGATAAAGAAGAAATCAGCAAGGAATTAGCATTCAGAGAGGCGAGTCCCTCCCAGCGCACAACAAGGCAGCCGGCAGTAAGTAAAAGCTATACGTAATACTCGTTTCTCCCTCCCCCCCCCGGGCCCCCTCCTCACCATAGTCGGGCACGTATCCGTCCCCCTTCTTCAGGACCAGGTGGATGCGGTGCCCCCCCCGCCGGATCTGCTCCACGGCCTGGCTGTGGGTCATGCCCGCCGTGCTGTTGCCGTTGATCTCCACCAGCTGGTCGCTCACCTGCGTGGGGGCAGGACACACATGGCTTCATGCAAACAGCACAGATACATACACATGTTCGAATGGGTCACTGGAATTTTACTGAATGTGGGGGGGGGGGGACTGAAATGCGACAATGTATCCATCCATCCATCTTCTACTGTATATGCGCTTATCCTTTGTAGGGTCACGGGGGGTCTGGAGCCTATCCTGAAAGCTACAGGCTCAAAGCAAGAAATAAGCCAGGACGGGGCATCAACCTATCACAGGGAACACTCACAAAGAGACACACAGACACAAAGAGACACACTGACACAAAGAGACACACTGGCCCAATCCCAAACTATACCCTCGACACTCCGCCTTCATTTCGAGTCACACTCCCGCCGAGTCACCCTCACAACACGCCATATGCACTTAAACTGAAGGAAACTGTCACAGGAAAGATTTGAGACAGACTTGCCCTCGCAGCGCCTTTTTACAGTCTTCTTTACCGGAAAGAGGAAATGCATTACGTAGTGATTTGACGAAATGGATCCATCAAGAAGCTGTATTGTATTTTCTTTAATGACATATCAGTTATTTTAAAAAAGCACAAAGTTTATCTAATGCGAGAAGACGACGGCTACGTCGTCTTATTGCACTGAGCAATTTTAAGTATGTACACGTCATATTGACGATTGTACAATTTCTACCATGCGTGTAAACTTAATTAGTTTACACGCATAAAACATTACGCATTACTTCTGTACCAAATACCAGATCCAGATCAGTAGAGGAAAAAACAGGCAAATATGAAACATAAATTGTTATTGCTGGTGTGATGTTGATCGAGTTTGCGTACGAATGTTTCTTCGCGTGGTTTCTAGTTTGAAAAGTACACAAAATCTCTCGTAATCGGATCACGATAAAATCAATCTGTACTGACCACCTATAAATAACTGCTTTCCTAATTTTTTTTCTGCAGCGATGAATTATAACATGTAACATAGACTTTCTATATGTATTTCCCAGTGCTGTTAGAATCCAATTATTAAATTATCGCGCTGTTCTGTTTCCTGTGCGCTAGGAATTGTGGGATATGGAAGTGGTAGTGGAATCGCGCGAGCCACCATCGTTGCTGACTCGCTAAAGGAGGGCATAATCGACCACTCCCCCTTAGCCCTTACTGCTTTGAGACACACTTCAACATGGCGACGGGTCTCGGGAACGCGCAAACGAAGGCGGAGTGGTGAGGCGGAGTGTGTAGGGACCAGTTTGGGATTGGGCCTATGACACAAAGAGACACACGGACACAAAGAGACACACTGACACAAAGAGACACACTGACACAAAGAGACACACAGACACACACACCACTGTGAAAATGTATGTAGATAAATATTCTGGGAATCCTCCTGCCTTTTTTAACATGTGCCTGAGCTGGACCGATCTCTCCCTTAACTTAACTAAAAGCCGGGATGTGAGGCAGCGCCATGCCCGGTGTCTGAAATACAGTGCAGGTCTCAGGCAGCGTGTGCCGTCAGAATGCCGGCTAAACACAGAGGCTGCTGCTGTCAGACGCAGACCAGCAGTACGGACTGTGCACACAGGCCTCACCTGCATCTTATGGCTGCGGGACGCGGGTCCTCCCTCCATGAGCCCCAGCACATACAGGCCCATGTTGTACTCGCTGCCCCCACGCAGGCTGAACCCAAAGCCTGTGGGACCCCTCTCCAGATCCACACTGTAGTACCTGGAGTCCAGCTGAAGGTAGAACAGGCACCAGGTCAGACAGGGTGGTGGTGCATGTGCTAGGAACGAGATGAATGCATGGTTCCATGTCTCTACACAGCTCTTAATTAGACAGCAAACACATTCACAGGCACACAAACAAACATACACACAGATACAACACATGCTCTAACCTTACCTTAGGCGGTGCTCTCTGGGTTTTTCTTGTCCTATAGTCTGCGTCAAATTCTGTGGGTTCCGGGACATCTGAGAACGACAGTTTGGGATCAGTGACACTTTACATGTTGCTAATCACATACTGAGCTCACCTAACAACATTTGACTAACTGCTGTAGTGTGTGATTATGCCGAGAGATTCAGGCGCTCACACACACAATGTAGGAAGCTAAACTGCTGGGAGAGGCCAAAATGAGCAGGTGAGGAGGCAGGGGAGTGAGCAGACAGGGGAGTGAGGAGGCAGGGGAGTGAGGAGACAGAGGAGTGAGGAGGCAGGGGAGTGAGCAGACAGGGGAAGGTACAGGATCCAAGCAGGAGGCCTTACTGTTGCTGGTGCGCGGGATGATGGTGAGGCGCAGTGTGTTGCCAGCGCGCCGCAGGATCTGGGCGAGGTCTCGGTGGGGCAGGCCAACCACTGAGCGGCCGTCCACCGCCTCCAGCTGGTCCCCGGGCCGGATCTGGCCACTGCGGGCCGCGGGGCTGCCTCTCCGCACCGTCACAAATCGGTGAGGCAGCAGAGAGGAGGCTGAGGACAGAGAGAGACAAACTGGATCCCTCAGGTGCTCATCCTGAAGAGGACAGACAGCTCAGGCCCCCAGCTACCACATCCATCCATGAGCACTTACATCTCACACAAATTTATTAAATCAGCAAAATCCATGTGGACATACAAGCAAACCCCCACAGATCCCACAGAGACTGAAATCTGAAAGTTTCTGATCCTAAATCCACCTTCTTAGCCACTTAGCATACTGTGGCCTTTTACCACGTTTTACTGCATCATGAAAATGCCACTGAGGTGGTGAGGGAATGGAGGCTGTTGGTCGGGAGTCGAGCACCTTCCTATCGATTAGAGATGACGGTGGCAGAGGAGGGCAGAGAGTGGCAAGGTCACCCAGGGGACCAGAGTGACCCTCTCCACTCGCCTTCCTGGCACTGGCTGATACACTTGTCCTCAGTGTCACAGGGGGCACTCACACAGACATGTCACAGCATGCCATACTTCACTGGTGCTATAAGTCACACAGGTGGCAAAATCTTGTCATCTATGCGATGAATGATGATATAGCGACTCCAGGTGTTCCTCCAGGTCATTCGTTACAGGATATGGTAAACAATTCAATTCAATTCAATTCAATTCAAAACAGAGCTAAACATGTAAATTTGTATAAAATAGTAAGCACATTTAGAATAAATAAATACACATTGATATGACTACCACAAGCTTTACAATACAATTTTCTTATGACCAGTAGGGGGTGTAATTTCACCTCAGTAAAATGACCTTTGTATGACGAGAGTCAGCAAATCATAAAATAACAAAAGGAGAGGATCACATCTTGCCCCAGATGACAGCGACTGGTTTATGCCAAGCCAGAGTTAGGGGGAACCGAAAGGTTCCATCAGCCCACAGGACCCAAAAGGATCCCTCAGCCAAAATGACCCGAAAGGTTCCATCAGCCCACAGGTCCCAAAAGGATCCCTCAGCCAAAACGACCCGAAAGGTTCCATCAGCCCACAGGTCCCAAAAGGATCNAAGGATCCCTCAGCCAAAACGACCCGAAAGGTTCCATCAGCCCACAGGTCCCAAAAGGATCCCTCAGCCAAAACGACCCGAAAGGTTCCATCAGCACACAGGACCCAAAAGGATCCCTCAGTCAAAGCGACCCGAAAGGTTCCATCAGCCCACAGGACCAAAAAGGATCCCTCAGCCAAAAGGACCCGAAAGGTTCTATCAACCCACGAGACCCGAAAGGTTTCTTCATGCCATTCTAGAATGAATTATTCCGACTTGGTTTTTGGAAAACCAGGCACAGAACTTGCCAGATGTTTTAGCCAGCGTGGTTATCCCATGTGCATCTGTAAGGCGCGTGCACCCTGAGTACATCCTCTCAGCTTACTCTGTGAGTAGAAACCTGTCCCCTTCCTTTCCTACACAGCAGCCTGCACACGGGTCCCTGCTGCCTGCCTTCTCGTCAGCCTCCCTGCTGCCTGTCAGCTGACAGCTGTCAGTCACTCTGCCCCTCATCCTGCCCGCAATGAGGACAGGGGACCCAGGGCTGAGCACAGTAAGCAGGGAAGCTCCGTAACAAACACACTGACAGGGAAAATCGAATCAGAACTGTAAGCAATATATTCTTTGTGTTCACCAAAGGTCACTATCGGCCACAAAGAGTGCTAACAGGACATGGTCAGCGGCCCCAAGCGGGACGCGCCCGTCTTCACCAGCCTGGCTGAAAGCCCACTGCGCAGGGAGAGTCTGGAGGAAGACTCCGCCGCGGGGATGGCTGCACCTTCATCAGCAGGCCCGTTTGGGGGAGAAGAGACGCTTCCTCTCGAATCAGTGACCACAGCCTGCATAATTAACTACCTGTATTTCCTGGATAATTCTCACCCTTCCAGGGGTTTTTAGTTGCACCTGCGTCCCTCTGTGCCTCCTTAAGCACTTATAATATTAAATATTAAATACGCTTCAAGACAAAAACGATTCAAAATAACCTCCAAAATTTGTTTAAAAAAAAAAACCCTGTGGCTCTAAGCCATTTGCACACAGGCACTTCTGCCCTCAGTTCTCCTCAATCAGAAAAGCATCTTATTTATTTTTTTCCAGCATAATCCACCACTAGCTAACAGAAATGGTTCACAAAGCAGACTTGTTTATTCCACTTCAAATGGCTGTGTTTGATTTTTACTGTACTTTTCACACTGTGTTTTATGACACCTTTACATTAGCATATAGCAAATATAAGTATTTATTCATTACTAATATGGCAGATTATATTTTGTTTGGTGACTGGGTCCATTTTTAATGTGGTAACTATGCCTAAAACCAGCATTCATTAAAAATTACTCCTGGTTAACTATACTCCTGCTCTGCATCCTGGAACCGTGTCCTAAACTTAAGTGTTATTTTGATCTGTTCGGCCCGCTGGAGATAAAGCTCACTCTGTGTGTGTGTGTGTGTGTGTGTGTGTGTGTGTGTGTGTGTGTGTGTCCTGAGATGGAGACTTTCAGCTCCGCTGCTGTTTGTCTGAACACTGGAGCACTAAAAAAACACCAGAATAAAGGTTTTATTTGCACATTCATGCACAACCATTATGGGTGAGACAGAGAGGTTTTTGAATAATTTGTAAAATAAGCTTCTGTCATTAATTCACAAAGAATGACACACAGACTCTTATTCTTTGTTACTCAGAGGGGCTTCTCTGTTGGTGAGGGACAGGGCTTCATGTGACAACATCTCTATGTATGACACTGGCAAAGTGACTTTTCCTTGTAGGAAATTATAACCGTGAATATGCATGTAATTCTGTTAGCATTGTTAGCATGCTTTAGCGCTCTCTGGAATGCACACAGCCACACACATTCACACAGCTGTCCAGGCAAACACTCTACCTGCAGTGCTCTGCTTGCCTTTCCTCCTTGATCCACCTGTCTACCCCCTCCCCTGCCGTGCCTCCCCTCTCACCCCCCCTGCTTTCTCCGTGTCCTTGCCCTCTGCAATCAGCCCCTGATACAGCCCCAAAGTCAATATTAGCACTTCCATTTGATCCCAGTGTTACTGCACTCGCCGTCCAACATGTGACCCACCTGCACAACGAGCCTTTCATTGCGGAATTTGTACGTATCTCCTGTGTAAATGCTGAGTCCTCACTCTCTCTCTCAAGTAGTGTAGGACAGGTTTTTACCCCAGAACGATAGCTCTGAGCTGATGGCTTGCAAGCACTCTTTGCAAGACGGTGACTCCACCGGACTGTGACTCCACTGGACAGGGACTCCCCAGAGTGATATGGGCCTCAGGGGCCGGAAAAACCCCGGAGCCTGTCGAAGATGCGCAGTGATGGTCTGCAGTGACATGTCGAAGATGCACAGTGATGGTCTGCAGTGACATGTCGAAGATGCGCAGTGATGGTCTGCAGTGACATGTCGAAGATGCGCAGTGATGGTCTGCAGTGACGCGGGGGCCTGCAGGGTTTGCTCCCACTAGGAGACACCTGTGGTTGGCGCAGCTGAAAATCTGCTCACTGTGCTGTGAAAATCGCCCGCAAAGGAACATCACGCTTCCCTGCCGCATTAAAATGTCTCCGTGATTCTCTGTGCATAGAATTTGCTTTTGTGTTCACGGAGATGTGTGTATTTGTTCCTGCGTCTGTGCTTTAAGTGGATCCGTTTCTCAGTGTGTCTGTGTGTTTCTCTGTATATGTGTGCCCGGGGGGGGGGGGGCTCCAGCACTCTGCTCAATACCTGGGCGGAGTGCCCAGGAACGGCAAGCAGGAAAGCCTCTGTGTTGCCGAGAAAAGCCGACACAGTCTCCCGCAGAGCCAATTAAACACACACTATGTTACATAAACCACACAAACAGGGTATTTTTAACGTAGGCTGACTTATGAACGATCTGTTGCTATTATGTCATGAATAGCATCAGTGACGTGGTGAGGATGTCGTGACACTGAGAGAGTGCAGCACACTGTAAGCGGGACACAGAGCACATTGTGCCGCTAAACACCAAAGCGCACGGACTCACCCCCCCCCCCCCTTACGGCCTGTGTGGGGGGGGCGGCGATCACACGCCCTGTCAGATAAGGATCCACAGCTGGATATGAGGGAATGAGCTGGGGGGGGTGGAGAGGCAGCAGCCCTGCCTGCCCCCAGTGCCTGCGTGATGAACAGCAGCGTGTTATTGTTCACAGGAACAAAACGGCAGCACCTGCGTTCCTGCAGTCATTTCCCGTTCTCACTTCCTGAGACAGTCCTGCTCAAAGCCCCACTGGGAAATGTTCTGTATTGTAGTAAAGCTCCAGGACAAACATGCAAAATAAAACAGTAAGGACTCTGAAGCCTGAAAATATATATTTTTTTATCTTTAAACCTATCCATTCATTTTCCATACCGGTTATGCAGTACAGGGCCCAGTGAGCCTACATCCGGAAGCACGCTTAGCAATATGTGAAATAAAGTATTTTTAACTTCACTTGAAAACTCCATATATAAAGATCGCATTCGCTACAGTTGGTTATGCATACATTACATTGTGATCCCCACAATGTGAAAAAGACCTGCTGTATTGACCTTGTAGGGACCATTGTTTCATTCTCCACAAGGGGAAACTCAATTTTATAAAAAATCTGTGACTGCAATCAAAAAAACAGTGTGTGTGTGTGTGTGTGTGCGCGTGTGTGTGTGTGTATGTGTGCATGCATATGTGTGTGTGTGTGTGTGCGCGCATGTGTATGTGTGTGTGTGTGCACGCATGTGTGTATGTGTGCATGCATGTGTGTGTGTGTGTGTGTGCGCGCATGTGTATGTGTGTGTGTGTGTGCGTGCATATGTGTGTGTGTGTGTGTGCGCGCGTGTGTGTATACGCGCATGTGTGTATGTGTGTGCGCGCACATGTGTGTATATGTGTGTGTATATGTGTGTGTGCGCACATGTGTGTATATGTGTGTGTATATGTGTGTNGTGCATATGTGTGTGTGTGTGTGCGCGCACATGTGTGTATATGTGTATGTGTGCACGCATGTGTGT